AGGACAGGGACGGAGGGAGGGGGGGGGCTGCAGCTAGGTTTAACATCGAAACTAACCTTTGTAGCTAAATGTTAGCTTAGCTATACACAGACATGAACAAAACAAAATAAATAAATCTGAACAGAGGTCGTCATCCTCACACGCACACACACACACACACGCGCGCTCACCCTCCAGCTCACAGCCCAGCAGCTCCAGGCGCAGACCCAGGCCCTCATTGGTCGCCCTCTCGGGGTAAACCCGGACAAAGCGGCTGAGGAACGGACCCATGGTCCTGAGCTCCGGGGTGTCGTGGTTCTGGTTCCCAATGAAGATCTGGAAGAGTCAGAAACCAGGTCCGTTCTAATCCTGCGGCTGGACCTTCATCGTCTTTGAACGGGTCAGAACCTGGTTCTGAGGTGGACCTACCTTGGGCCTGGTGGTGTTCTCCTCCTTGACCATGGTCCAGTCCTCTCCGTCCAGGCTGTGGCCCACTCTGAACTTCTTCATGAAGACGTTCTTGTCGCGGTGCTTCCCTCCCTGGATCAACACACCGCTCACCATCTTGTCCTGACCCAGATCCACCTACGGTACCAGGGTTGGACCAGAAGACACAGACCGTGGGTTAGAGTCAGACCACCGACCAGAACCACTGGGTTCACTGTCCAACAGCAACGGGCTCAGAAACAATTCAACTAAAGTTTCCATGACCGCCTGCAGTACATCAATGGGCCACTAGGGGGCACCGATGTAACAAAATGATCGTTTTGAGGTTGTCTTTGTCTTTTTTTTTTGTTCAGAAATAAAAACGTAATGTGGGTTTCGAACCCTCACCCACCTGCAGCCACTCGTTTCTGAACGGCTGTTTGGTTTGCTGCCCGGTCCAGCCCGACCTCCCTGTCAACAGACGGGCGTTCTCTGCCACCCAGCCCCGGTCGGCGTACGACGAGGCGCTGATCTGGGCGTCAGAGATCTGACCCGACACCATTCCCAGCATCCCTGAGCACGGGTAGTCTGTGGAGTCAGAGAGGAGGAGGATGAGGAGGTGATGAAGGGCCCCCCACTGGTGAGGTAAGGAACAGCAGCGCTAATCGCATCTGTGGGTTAGTCGCCCCCTGGTGGCCAGACGTTTTTTTGGGGAGACTTTTAGCTGTCATTGCTAAGTTTAAGAACATGCTAGGCTAACTTGGTGTAGAACTGTTAGCTGTTAGCAGTTAGCAGCAGACACACATGTTACAGCTAATTCATCTTTAACATGTCCTGAACAATGATTAATGAGCTGCAGAGAAAAACTCCTATAAATAAACACACACACACACACACACACACACATACACACACACACACTGTGCCTTTGTGTTCGAAGGAAGAAAAAAACATTTTCTTTTTCTATTTCCGTCCCCGTCTTCTGTGAGGACACCGTGGTCACATGCTGTACACACAGGCTGGCGTGTGATTGGTGGATTTGGATTGGATTATGGTCCGTGTCAAAGAGCGAGACGGGACTGGATCTGATCAGAGCCGTGACCTCACTCTTCTTCCTGCTGTAAATATCTGGGGGGGAGGGGGGGGGTGGTCTCTGTTGTCTCAGACCCCCGGGACACGTGGACACAGAGAGACCATTATGAAGCAGGAAATGGAAACACTGAGCTGTTATTGGTTCACGGCCCCTCAGATATTTCAGGGTTAATGTTATTTTGTAAATTTGTTTTTTTACCTTTTTTAAAAATTAACTCCGTTCTCAACTTAACGTTAATGAATTCTGGTTTTCTTCGATTTTTCTGTCACTTCTTTATTTGTCTAAACTTTGTGAATGTTGGATGAACTTTAATGATGAATTTCAACGATTCCTGAGGGAAAAATCTACAAGAAAAATCCGACTGTGGATGATGATGTTCAAGCAGGGGGGCGCGGGTCGGGGAGGACGGCAGTGAAGACCAACTTCTTCTGAACTGTCCCTAATGTCAAAGGTCAAATGTCCACTGAGACTTCACAGGGACTCCAGTCCATGATGGAACAAGCTAAAGCTAACGCTAAAGCTAACCAAAAAAACAGCTGAGCGTCACCTGACGTCCTGCAGCCGTAGATCTCAAAGCGCATACAGATGCCCTTCTCCCAGGACATGGGTCGGATGCGGACGTAGCGAGCCAGAGACTGTTTGGGCAGGAAGGCGTGGACCTCGTCCACGGCGTTGTGGTTTCCCTGGAAGACCTGGAAACAGAGCAGTCGCGACACACACACACCGTCAGCCAACCAGTCCTGAGAGCCAATCAGACACACACACCGTCAGCCAACCAATCAGATTTAAACAGAAACACAAACAACAACTCTGGGTCGGGTGACATTTAAACAGAAACACATTACCTTCTGCTTCGAACCATCCTTCACCGGCACCCAGTCCTCTCCGTTGGAGCTCAGGTCCACCTTGTACGAGCGGACGAAGTAGTGCTTCGTGGTCTCTTTGGAGATGGCGCCCTGAGTCCCGACGGCGGTGACGAACCGGAGGAACCCCAGGTCAACCTGCAGAAACCAACGACATCATAACGATCGGTCAGAAGGAGTCTAGGAAACCAGAGGACGTGGTTGAGGTACGGGGAACCTTGAGGAACCTTGAGGAACCTTGAGGAACCTTGAGGAACACATTTGGATCACTTTATCTTCTTCTCAACTTTAACTTTGGTTTCTTAGTAAACCTCCTCCTCGTCCTCCAGCCTGGGGACGGAACCAGGACCAAAGAACCAGGTCCAGTCAGATGAAGGAACACTGAACATCTCGGAGTTAATCTGATCTGACGTCAGAAGTTTCTCTTCCTTCACGTCATCGACGCTCGTGTTCGTTTTCATCGTCTTTTCATCAAACTCTTGGTCCATGAGATGAGAACGTTCTGGTTGAAGGAACATTCTGACGTCATACGTTGAATCAGTCCATCGAAGAGAACGCTCCGATCTGAACGTTCCCACGCGGGGACTCGACGTGAACCGGAGACGTACTTAAAGGAAGACAAACGTATTTTCCTGACGCTGCCGTCTCATTATCCTGACGATCCTATTGGCTCTGACAGGAACTCTGAAGAACGTGTTTGTTCTCTTGAGTACAGAAATACACACTCAGTCTGTGGGTCGCTGCTATCACACACACACACACACACACACACACACCGTGTAATTACCCCACTGTGGAGACGCCCGCTCTGTCCGACTGCACATGGGAACGGACGCCGCTGAGGCTTTGGCTCCGCCCACTGATGCCGGTTCAGAAAATACGTTCCAGCAGGTCTACACCCGATCTGGGACCGAAGGCTGGGAACTGGAGGGAGGCTTCCTGGGAATCCTCACCC